CGGCTTTCTAGCTTCTCTTGTTCCCGGGTTAGTAATTTTCGCGTCAAAATATTCAGGCGCGCGTACTTGGGCTTGGAGGCTTCCAAACAACTGATTTTGATCGTAAATGAGTAGGGAACATTTCCTTAAAGTTTCAGCTTTCTGGCTTTTCCCGTTCCCGGGTTAATAATTTTCGCGCCAAAATTTCCATACGCTCCTATGTGGACTCGGGCTCTTCTAAACACCTGATTTTGCTCGTACGTGAGTAGGAAACATCCCCTTAAAGTTCCAGTTTTCTAGCCTTTCCCGTTCTCGGGATAGTGACTTTTCCGCCAAAATTTTCACGTGCCCAAACGTGAGCCCCTGGCGGTCCTAAGGAGCTGAATTTGAAAACTTTTGGTTGTGCATGAGTGTGGAACATTCCCCCAAAGTTTTAACCTTCTAGCTTTTCTCATTCTCGAGTTATGAATTTTCCCGCCATAATTTTCACGTGCTGCCCGTACGTAAGCCTCGGGCACTCCTGGGCAGCTGAATTTGAAATCTTTTTGTCATACATGGGTAGGGAACATTCTCCCAAGGTTTCAGCTTTCTAGCTTTTCTCGTTCTCGAGTCAGTGATTTTCGCGCCAAAAGTTTCACGTGCTCGTAAGCGGAGCTCAGACGTGCGTGAGAGTTGAAATCGCAGTCCTGGGGTGGTACTTGGCTGGGGAACACATTGGCAAAATTTCAGCTTCAAACCTTGCGTAATTAGCGAGTTAAAATACCCGGACAGACACACACACACACACAGAAACATAAACACACACACATACACACACACACACACACACACACACTGACAGGGTTGTTACAATATGAATTTTGCTGCCTGTTGCAGTGCTAGAGCGCTGCAACAGGCGGCAAAAACGCATAAAAATGACCGGACCTCATGCAACCCAGACTGGAACGCACCAGGTGGGCCAGTGCGATTATGCGTTTTTGCACTTTTCGTACCGTAACAAGATCGCAAGGAGTTAATGTAGCTAACCCTGTAAAATACTGGCCCTCGAAGTTCGGGAAGTTAATTGTGCAACTATGTGGC